ATTTTAAAAACAATACAATTTTTAAAGATAAAAAACAAATAAAAAATTATCAATGTTCTTGTATTTGATTACCACCTTGATCAATAACTAATTTTAATCGTGCTGGTATTTTATCTATCATTCGTTGACATAAAGAAACACTAATTTTCTTCCATTCCTTTTTTGAGTTACAAAGCATTTGTCGTTGTGTAGGACGGTAGGTTTTCGGATTGAAGAAGACACTTTGCAATATCTTTCGGTTTCCATGATGGATGTAATTTTTTTGAATGTAATACGAAAGAACGAAATTGTTTTTTATCTTTATCAGACTGTTCATGTAACATTTTGTGTTGATTCAGTGGTAACGGACTAATATTGCACTTTATATATCTCTCCCATCGACACGTACAGATACAAAAAATATGTTGGTAAAAGAAAAAAAGTGTTCTGGCACGTGTTAATTAAATAAGCGCTCGAAATAGCAAATTTTCTTCCGTTCTTATATCAAATTTTCGCTGCTGGAAATTTTTCAAAATAGCACATGACAGTGTTTTTACAGTTTCTCATCCATAGTCAAAGCTACAGACCTCAAAGTTTCTAGTTATCTAGTACTACATATGTACAATAATCTATGAAAGTTTCAAAGAGTTTGCTTTTGGTGAATGCGAGAACGATGAATTTTAAAAACGTTTCAGAACTTCCGAAGCACCCCGTATATATAATGTTGTTACGCGTTACTAACTACGCAATAGCTTCCAGTTCAAGATCAAGAAGAACATTTCTTGACTTTTACAAGAAAGAGAAAAACATAATCAAAGACACGAAAGAAAACAAACAAAAGTTATTTCAGAAAAGAACGAAAGTACAGAAAGAAACAAAAGAAAGAGAACAAACATATATGGATAACTCATATAACGTGTTTCTTATGGTACATCTATCCAATGTGTCATAACAACTTGAAATGAAATACATCCAAAATTCTTCAATTCATTTAAGTCATCTTAAGATTTTTGAATTTTTTCACTTTTAGATACTTGGAAGATTGCTTTCAAAAAGATGTAGTCGAGGGTATGGATGTGGATGTGGATGTGGGCCAAGGAAAGACAGGCACCCATTCCTATACGTGAGCAGTCATCCTATTCCGCGATGTTGCACATTGTGGGAATCAATTCCGCTGCGGAATCAGTTCCAACCAATTTCGGAATTCCTAATCGTCGAACGCACTCGACTTACTCGAAAACGATCCAGTTCCCTCAAATTCCGGAATTATCGGAATTCAGTGCAATTCCGAGAACTGCTTCGAGACGGAATTGCATGTAATTTCATGTAATTCCATCCGATTCCGGAACCACTAATCCATTGCAATGAAAGCTTCGCTTCAGTCATATCATTGCACCCAATTCCCAAACGGAATTCCGGGAATTGCTCCCATGCGGAATTGCATGCAATTTCATGCAATTCCGTCCGATTTCGGAATCAGTTATACATTGCAATGATAGCTTCCCTTCAGTCATATCATTGCACCCAATTCCCAAACGGAATTCCGGGAACTGCTTTCAGACGAAATTCCATGCAATTCCGCCCGATTCCGGAATCACTACTACATTGCAACGACAGCTTCACTTCAGTCATATCATTGCACCCAATTCACAAACTGAATTCCGGGAATTGCTTCCATGCGGAATTGCACGGAATTACATGGAACTGCATGCAATTCCGTGTAATTCCGTGCATTTTCGTCTCGAAGCAATTCCCGGAATTCCATTTTGGAATTGGGTGCAATGATATGACTGAAGGGAAGCTATTGTTGCAATGTATAACTGATTCCGGAATCGGACGGAATTACATGGAATTGCATGCAATTCCGTCTCGAAGCAATTTCCGGAATTCCGCTTGGGAGTAGGGTGCAATGATATGACTAAAGTGAAGCTGTCTTTGCAATGTATTAGTGATTCCAGAATCGGACGGAATTGCATGGAATTGCATGGAATTGCATGGAATTCCGTGTAATTCCGTGCGATTCCGTCTCAAAGCAATTCCCGGAATTCCGTTTGGGAATTGGGTGCAATGATATGACTGAAGTAAAGCTTTCATTGCAATGTATTAGTGATTCCAGAATCGGATGGAATTGCATGCAATTCCGTCTAATTCCGTGCAATTCCGTTTCGAATCAATTCCTGGAATTGCACTGAATTCCGATAATTCCGGAATTTGAGGGAACTCGATCGTTTTCGAGTAAGTCGAGTGCGTTCGACGATTGGGAATTCCGGAATTGGATGGAACTGATTCCCGAGCGGAATCGATTCCCGCAATGTGCAACATCACGGAATAGGATGTATTCTCCTATACGTCCATCCATACTCTAAAAGGTTTTCGGCAGTTGCTTCACTTTCTGTCCACTAAGTTGTTTCAGAAAATAATTATATTCTTCCATTCTAAGAAGCAATGAGAGAAGAACAGTAGCATCTCCACTATTTTAAAACAGATATTCTTCAAAAAAATTGAATTTGCCTTACTTGGCTTTCGTACCTTGACGACGATATCCGGCTTTAGTCAATGTATCTGCTATTCTGCCTTTATCAGCCTTTGATTTGATCCAACATTTCTGAGTATAATACCAGGTGAAGGCGTTACATCTGGCATCATTGAAACATAGAGAACAACAATCTTTATAAGTGGCAATAATTGGCCGCCACCCGTAAAGATCGTTTCCAAAGTAGTCCCAATTTTCTTTCACGACGAAGTTCGAGCAGGTATCTTAATAGAATTCAATCAAAACAAAATAACAGGATCGTACTTTTAAGGTAACAGGTAGCATGGATGTACGGAGCAAGGAATTCTTATGCTCGGTGGAACCCATATGGTGACTTCCACTTTGAGGGTGTGAGTGGGGGTGGGTGTTGTTATGCGCGAAGAGAATATTTACATCCACACCCACATCTGCACCCTCTATCAATAAATATGTGTTTAGCTGAAATCAAAAATAAAATGTTTTACAGGGGTCTCTGTGGGGACTACAGCTCCCAAAAACCTTTTGGGGAGTTATAAGAAAAAGCCCTACTGAGTACTATCAGGAGGCATGTCTTACTTTAAACAGATAAAAAAAGTTAATTTTGTTGGAGGCAGGAAAATGGCCTTCTCCGTTCTGGTCTTTTCCCATGTATTTCTCTCCATCGATAAGGAGTTGGTCATTTGAATTTTTTTCTCTAAAAACGCTCAACATTCACTTTTCTCTCAGCGACATAGTTTATTAGCCGAATCCATTTTCAATACAGATGTACATCTCTGAAGTGCATACCAGATGAAAATTGGAATTATCGCTTCCTAGAACAACTTTTTGCAAATTATTCAGATGTGGTGAATGTGAGTTAATTCTCTTCAACGATATCCACACACACAGTTAGCGGTTTTAAACTTTCATGCTATGAGTACAAAGTTTTGCAGTTAGCATACTTCTCAAGTCTCTACTAACAGATTTTCTTCCCTTTCTAAAGGATACCTTCACTGCCAATGATTTTTCCAGGAATCATAATGGTATCTATTATGCTCTTGTCTTGAATTCTACTTAGTCTGGGTTTGTAGGGCACTATTTAATTTCTTCCCTAACTATTTTTGCTAAATAGAAGATTCAGAAATTTAATACAAATAGAAGATAGGATTCTATCAGAGATGCTCATGTTGGTTTTCATCGACCCGTGAGTAGGGCGCTCTTACAGTCGGGTTTTAGTTTTGTGGCTTTCTTCAGCGATGGTGGATGGAGGTGGCTGGGTGTGTAGGTATGGGTGTGAGTGTGACGTGCGAGTGTGAGGTGTGGGTGGGTATGGATGTTGCTCTTTTCTTCAGGGATACCCATATTCACATCCGCAAGTGCTGGTGGGTCAATTGTGGGGATTTGTCGAAACCAGAGCCCCAAACAGACCCGCACCCAATAAAAGGCGATGCTATCAATCTGGTGGAATTTTCAAGGTATAATCTACTTCGAGCATTTTCCTTCTAACACCGCAGTCCACTTCAAACCGTATTGAAAATAACTCTAAAACTTGAAGATCTGTCTGCAAGCCAAGCGTCAAGAACGGCCTAAAGTTCGGCTGCTTTATGAAGGCGTCAAATTTCGTACACCATAGGTTACTCGTCAGAAGTTGGAAGAATTTGGGTGGAGTGTGGGTGTGACAGTTCGACAAAGAACCATAATGATACGTATACCCTCACCCTCACCCACTCGCATCCCCAGTTGGGTTGAGAAATCTCACCCCATCCACCGTATTCACCAAACTTAATACCTCTGATTATCACCATTCCACTCGCTTCGCAATAATCTGCGGGAGAATGACTTCAACGATCAACGTCACTTAGAATCGAACCTCGAAATTTTCTTTGAGTCTTTATCTAAGGATTTCTTCAACGCCGATATTATGGCCTTGCCCAACAAATGGAAATATGTCATAGATAACAATGATACATATGTTGTTTACTGATGGTATTTTCTTTCAATAAAAGCTTAAAAAATTGAAAAGAAAAAAATTCGCGGACACTTTTGCATCAACCCAACACACTTAAAGGTTTGGTTAGAATTTTTAGCGTTCGCTTTCTTTGAATAATGTGAAGCTTATTATCAGATTTTCTTCCAAATGAAGACTTGAAGATTTCTCGTAGCATGATTCATGCTTTATCCATCACTGATTCTCTGCAGAAATTCTATTATCCAAAATTGCAAAATTTTGTATGGTTATTGTGAAAATCTGTTTCACATATTAGTATCAGGTTGCTACGAGAAATGAAAAGTAACTAGTCGAGACTTCAAGCAGAAAAAAAAACAGGATCCATCTTAATCCTAAGCTGAAAAAGATGGAGAACATTCTGTCAGCTTACTGTAATCCTTATGCTCTGCTATTGTGGGAATCCGACTTTGAGCCAATGTGTCCTAGATAATATCTGCAGATCTCATGAGTGAAATTGCTGGAACAGTCAACCGTTTATCGGACGCCCAAAATTTGATTTCTGTTTTGATTTTATGATTTTTATTATCCTGTTATTGTTAATGCATAAATCATATTGTATGAAACATATTCTAATTATTTATACGAATATAACATTGTAGATAAGACATATGAAAATAGAGAATCCTTTACGTAATTTATTTTTACCTTTCTCACACGATTACTAATTATAAATTTCAGCTTACCTTCTTGTGTTATAAATAGAGCTGAGAACTTCTCATCGATAGCTGCTATATTTGATTTAAGTTCTGTCAGCCGATTGTTTATATGTGAATTTAAGTTTTCGACATAATTTTTCATTATTGTTTCTGATGATTCACGTTTTGCCAATTGATTGTTTAGGTGTAACTTTAATTCTTCGAAATTCCTTTTAATCATTGTGTCTGATGATTCAAGTGCTCTCAACCGATTGTCTATACGTGTCTTTAATTCTTCGGTATTATTTTTAATCATTGTTTCTGATGATTCACGTTTTGCCAATTGATTGTTTAGGTGTAACTTTAATTCTTCGAAATTCCTTTTAATCATTGTGTCTGATGATTCAAGTTCTCTCAATCGATTGTTTATACGTGTCTTTAATTCTTCGGTATTATTTTTAATCATTGTTTCTGATGATTCACGTTTTGCCAATTGATCGTTTAGGTATAACCTTAATTCTTCGAAATTCCTTTTAATTATTGTGTCTGATGCTTGTAGTTCTCCCAATTGATTGTTTAAGGATAACTTTAATTCTTCGGTATTATTTTTAATTATTGTTTCTGATGACTTACGTTCTATCAACTGTTTGTTTACGTATGACTTTAATTCTTCGGTATTATTTTTGATCACTATTTCTGATGATCTGAGTCCTATCAACTGGCTGTTTGTATGTGACTTCAAGTTTTCAATGCTAAGAGTGAATTTTTGATCCAGTTCATGCAATTTTGATTCGAATACGTTCGTGTAATTATCAGTAACTGGCACTGTTGTTAGTATTGTATTTGATGATAATGACTGAATCCGAATTGGTACGGCATGCATCGAATCGATATGTGATACAATGACACTTTTGTGTATAAATTTTTTATTCTCTTGAAATGTAGCTAAATTCAATTTGTAAGCTTTAACAGGTTTAACAATAAATTTTTCACCTGTAAATTCAATAAATTGACGATTGTTTGTGTAGAAGTCAAAATTATTATGTCTGAAGTCTTGAAATGACTGGGCATCTGCTTCCGTTCCTATAAGATCGTGTGCTGTTCGTTGATCTTGATTAGCTGCACGGCGCCATGCACTTTTGTTATAGAACGACAGATCATCACTAGTTGTTGTTGTGTTTTTCCATATGTTACTTCCTTGATGTGAATAATCATTATATTTACTCAGTGCATTACGCCAATCAATAATACCATGAGCTGAACGAGACGAAGAACCAGCATCCATATGTTTATTTGATGAACCAGGTGACATACCAACACTGAACCCACCAAAGCCTAAATTGATACCAAATCTATTGTTAGATGAATGATCACCGTGATGCATGTCTGATGCACTTTGCCCAAAGTTTTGATTCTGCGATTGAACACTATTACTACGATCAATAACATTTTGTTCTGTGGAAGAACTGCCTTCACCATTACTCAATCTATCAGTTTTATTTCGACCACTACCGGATACATTTTCTGAATTATCATGACTACCCTGCGTATGTGTCAGGTTAAAGTCTCTTTGATTTTGTTGTTGTTCAAAAGACGATTGATTTTGGTGTGTAACAATAGTTCTATTCTGTAATCGTTTCAATTCATCATTTAATAAATGGACAATTCGATCTGGACGTATGTTATTCGAATTCCAATAGACTGAATTCCATTGTCGTTCTGTATGATCGTGTAATATTTCCACATTTAATGAGAAATATTTTTTCATCAGGTCTGCCAATATGTTGTGATCATCTTGTGCAATATAATCTGAATCTGTTATTTCTTCTAATTCCATTTTTGTCAATATTTCGGTTATAAACTGATTCATATCATCAACAAGCAGATAATGTGTATTATTTCCAGTAGTTGATGATGGTATCTGTTTTAATTGTGAATATGTAGGTGTCTTCATAATATGCTCACCGGTAATTGTAACAGTCTTACGTATTTGCTTTTCAGTTTGTGTACTATATTGCAATTCCAAACCATTCAATATTTCTGGTGTTTCTAAGATATCATTCAATAAATCATAACATGTTTGATTTGTACTACATTCAATATGCACATCAACTTTGTTTAGAAGTGCTGTATTCGATTGCCAACTTGTATCTAATTTGTAATTTGATGATAGTTCGGTTGAACGTTTCCATATGACGCGGAGACGTTCAGTTGGTACCATTTTTATATCACATATTTCCAATGGTGGACTACATCGATTGCGTGTATTGGATACATATCTTAAAATTGTTGTACGTAATTCATTTGTGAAGAGTATTAATGAAAGACGTAAGAGATATTTGTCACTGAGACGATTATAAAAGACACGGGTTTGATTTAGATACAGTGCAGCCAATGGTGGTACAAATAGACGTGAACTATTTTGTAGATGTTCATAGACGGTCACTTCACCATCCAAATATGGTACGGATGTGAGGGTTGATGGTGACAATTGTGCTTTAAAAAAGTCTTGTGAATTTATTATATTTTGTGAAATGGCACAGGTGATAAAAATAACATAGACTTGAAGATGCATTTTGTATGTGTCTCTATCTTATAGAATCGTAATCAATGAGTATATAAACATCAATATTTATAGCTTTAAGCAGAAGAGAGTTCTCCTCTACAAAAGTGACATTTTTTTTATCTTGATGTATATCATTTACTTCTGGAAGATATTTCGTCCTTAATTGATGCATATATGTCAGATGCAACAAAGTAACACAGAAGAGACAGACGCAATATTATCGCATTCTTCTCAAATAACATGGACCTAGATTCTTTCTACGAAGAAAGAGGCAAAAAGATAAACCTCATTACATCCAGTATCATTCAACACAGTAATAGCAGTACTTATTATCTATAAGAGATAAGATAGTATCCATCACTGTCACCTTTGCTCTCAACAAAATAAAAATATGTATGATAAAGGAAGACAGATTTAGATAGAAAAAATATTCGCTACTAATCAGATTAGCACACATTGTGATGGGCTATTCCTCTCGCAAAAGGCAAAACATTCTTGTTTTGATGGACTGTTTCCCATAATCGAGTAGATAGCCTGTCAACACAACCAAGCTTGAATGTGTTAGCAGGCTAACTACTCTGATATTTGGACAATGACCCATCACAACAAGAATGTTTTCCACGCGATGTTTTTCTTTTTGTGTTAGGAATAGCTCGTTATATTTCCTACTAATGTGATTAGTAGCAAATGAAAGAACTTCTCAAGTTTTAAAACGTAGTCATATAACTATAATTGTTTAATAAGAAGATTCCATTCCAAACAGCATAATTTCACCCGTTGAATGAGTTATTTCAATGTTGACTCTCTTCAACCTTTTTATCTAAATATTATGTTGATTCACCAAACATTCTACTTTCTTTGAGCGTTCTATTATTAATCTATTTAACTAATCAGTTCTCACGGATAATCGCCAGAAAATTGTGGTTGTCAGCTAGTCCTTTCCGATTATTTCTCGTTTCATTAGAGCTTGATATACAGATCGATGGTAGCTACGATAGTGGCTATTATTCAACAAATATGTGGAATCCAACAAAACCATGGACCTGCATCCCGATGGATGACACTAGTACAATTTGTCGTAGATATGTTCTAGAGAATACATTAACTGAATTAAGTGATTTAGTTTAGAATGTTATTTAATTAATCACCTCAACAAAAATTTATCTTCAGACTCTAAGAAATCTTTTTTTTAGAATACAATGGTTTTTCAAAAATATAATAGAGATATCAATTTAAAGCGTTTTTTTAAAATTTAATTAAAAAATTCAAGTTTGATTTTAAATAAAATTCTGTGTACATAATTTAAAGGTGAACTTCATTTTTTTGAATTAAAATTTAATTTTTATTTTTAAGAAAAATCTGAAAATTAAAAGAAAAATATAAAATTGAAAAAAAATTTTACAGAAGTAAATTAAAAAAACTAACTTTTTAATTTAATGACAACATAAATTTCAATTGAAAAAAATGAAGTTTATCTTTAAATTATTTACACAGATTTTACTTAAAACCAGACTTGAATTTTTTTAAAATTAAACTTTAAAATACGCTTTAGAATTTTATTTAAAATAAAACTTGAATTTTTCAATTAAATTTAAAAAAAAACGTTTTAAATTGATATTTCTATTATATTTTTGAAAAAACAATTGTATTCTGAAAATAGATCCCTTAGAGTCTAAAGAAAAATTTTTGTTGAGACGATTAATTAAATAACATTCGCAATTAAATCATTTAATTCAATTAATGTATTCTCTACAACACGTATGCGACGAATTGTTCTGCGAGGAATTATGATGCAACGAATTGATCAGTCACTTGCTACAGTGGCGGGCCAGTACCAAAATTTTTGGTGCGGTAGTTGCTGGAAAAATCGTTTTGCTAATCGATTTTTATCAAATTATCGGTTATTTCAAATATTTTTGGTGTGACAATTGCTGGAAAAATCGTTTTGCTGATCGATTTTTGTCCAGTTATCGATATTTCAAATATTTTTGGTGTGGCAATTGCCACACTTTGCCACACTGGTAGCCCACCACTGACCTGATGGATGAGGCTTACCCTTGTCGTCACTTTTTTAAACAACTGCGTTGCAGTTATGCGCAGTAGCCATTCTGCGACGCAGTTGCGCGTAACTGCTACACACTGACCGCAGTCGATATTAAAGAAATAGACTGCTTTCACTGCGATGGATTTGCGTTTCCATCTGCGATACACTGAGCGCAGTGCCTGCTAAAATATTTACTCTTCTTGCAGTTGCTGAAAAAAGCAGCCAATGATAAATAAATATCTTAATTTTCCAGTTGTATGGTTTTTAACCTTTTGAGTCCCGACTTTTTTTCTACGAAATTCGAAATTTTTTATAAAAAATTTTAAAATATGAGGGTGTGGGTGTCTTTTTCTGCCACTTATATTCACACCCATATCCACACACCTACCCACACCCATACCCATACCCACTGGGGAACTGCAAAGTGGTCCCAGTCCCGGTCCCAGTCCCGGTCCCAGTCCCGGTCCCAGTCC